TTTCCAAATCGGTATCCAAGAAGGATTACCTCGGGTAGGGTCCAAACAAGGATCGAAAAGGAATAAGAGTTGAACAAGGTAGAAATTTTAACGGCGCCGGTGGTGTAGTGGTAAGCGTGATTACCTCTCACTCCAGTAGGCCTGGGTTCAATCCCACTCGGCGCCGCCGGGATGTTCTGAGGCATAACATCTCTGATCACGCCTTCCTTCGGATGGGAAGTAAAGCCGTTGGTCCCCGGTTCATGAGTTGATGGGTCGATAGGTAGGGTCCAGGTGTGGGAGCTGCCTTCCTGGCACGTCGGTAGCATTGGTGCTCAGCACGGAAAACAAGATCGACGGAAAAAACAAACCAAAGGAAAAAAGAAAAAAAAGGTAGAAATTTTACCGGGTGAGCACTGAAAAGTACTGTTTAAATTTGTTGTAGCTTTAGGTAGTAGTAACACTTCCTTCAGCAAAAAGCAAATAGATCCGCACGGCAAGAGAGCACGATGCGAACTGACAAATAAGTCCATGATTTCAAAGTTAACAAGTCAATTATGCGTTTGATACGATACTTTAGTTCAAAGGTACCGAACAAAGTCAGCTCCGACCGAATCAATTTTTATCTTCATCCGATAGGCCGAAATGAATTCAATGGCGTCTGAATGGCGTTTCGTTAGGCCGAATTTAGAATCCGTAGGCCGAGTTTGGGGTCAAGAAGCCGTGTTAGATTTTTAACCCCTCCCCATGGACATGGAGGTTGACGGTACTGAAGCAAAGGGTTATGTTTAATTTCTTTACATTTGCAACGATGATGATTTCCTATAGTGACACATATCACCTTCTATCAGCCCTTCACAGCATAATCCCCATCGTGTATGCTTCTCCGACTTCGGCAATTCAGTTAGTTTTGATTTATCCATGACGCGGGAGATTCGTGGGATCCCAGAACATCATCGTTCCATGATTGTTCCGTCAATTTACGCTGCAAAGTTTGGCCAAGTTGATTCTGCAAGATCGTTCTTCACAGATGGATCACTAATAGAGTCGTCCGCTGGTTTTGGTATTTTTAACGAATTTCATAGCGCCTCCCGAATGCTTCAAGCTCCTTGTTCCGTATATGTTGCTGAGCTGGCGGCAATACATTATACGCTAGAAACGATCGCCTCACTTGCACCAGATCATTATTTTATTTTTACGGATAGTCTCAGTTCTGTCGAGGCTATTCGATCCATGAGGCCGGTAAAGCACTCCTCGTATTTTCTCATGAAAATACGAGAGCTTCTGAGTGCTTTATCTTTAAGATCTTTTGTCATCACCTTTGCATGGGTCCCATCTCATTGCTCGATTCCGGGCAATGAGAAGGCGGACTCACTTGCTAAGGTGGGCGCTATGCAAGGCGATATTTACGATCGACAAATCGCCTACAATGAATTTTTCTTCATTTATCGTCAACAGTCGCTCGCCAGCTGGCAAAATAAATGGAGTGAAGGAAGTTTGGGACGATGGCTATTCTCGATCATCCCTAAGGTGTCGAAGAGTCCTTGGTTCAAGGGGTTGGATGTGGGTCGAGACTTCATTCGTTTGATGTCTCGCCTCATGTCCAATCACTATTCGTTAAACGCTCACTTGTTTCGTGTTGGGCTGGGAGACAGCAATCTCTGTGAATGTGGACAAGGTTACCAAGACGCCGATCACATCCTTTGGTCTTGTGCTGAGCATCGTGGAGTCAGATCTGAGCTATGCGATTCCCTTCGGGCTCGAGGTAGACAACCTAATGTTCCAGTTCGGGATATTTTGGCTAGACGTGATCTGGAGTTTATGAAACTCATATATGTTTACTTTAAGAATACTAACCTTAGATTGTAAGTTTGATTAACCTTGTGTTTAGTTTGTGTATTGTGCGTGTAGTTTTTTTTTTTAATGTTTGTCTTCAAGATGAATAGAAATAAGTTCATGTTTTAGAATTAATTAAATATTTGTATAATAAATCATATTTCAAACCTCCTTCTCCCTTTCCCCATCCAAAAAATTGTAAATCTCCACTAACCTCGAGACGACCGCGAGTAATCGGTTCAATTCCTTTAACTCTAGATTTAAGACATGAATCATGTATAATGCAAATGATAACTCGGCTCTGTAAAGTTTATTCGATTGAGCCTGTACAAATAAATTAATATAAAAAAAAAAAACATATCACCTTCTTAATGCTTCAGTATACCTCAAACGATTAATTCTTGGTTGTTAATAGAACTTCCTTGATGAAATCGGCTGCTTCATGCAGACTGAGCAATTCTGATTATAGTATCAGATTTGTTCTGTATACAGAGGAACTGGGAGGGCTTATTAGAAACTTCTCACCAATAAAGTAATGATCTTCTAGTAAATTTTGCATATCATTTTATTAAAATTTTATTTTATTTTAGCATATTATTTTTGTTACAGCCAATTGGCATTAGTATACGATACAAAAGATTTAATATTACTTGCTCGTTTTTGCGTAAAATAATCAATATTTATTTTACTTGTAATTACCTATGAAAGTTTTTTTCAAGTTTTTTTTTGTGATCTGAAAATTTACCCAGTTTGGTTAGAAGTTTCGAAGCTAACGCATGTCCACAGGCCTAATAGAAAGATAGGCAGAAAAAGTGTATCATGAAGAATGGTTGCATGCAGGGTTGCTTCCACTCACTTGCTATAGATGAGTGATTTTCGGAGTTTTGAATTCGTTAGATGTTGTAATGGAGATTTGTGCTGTTGGATGCGGGAGAAGATTGGAGGGCGGGTGTTTGACGCATAGAGCCTGTCAATTTCGCTTTCAGAGTGTCACAGTCAGCGGTTTTATGATTCGTGAGCGCTTACGATTCGTAGAATCGTTGATTGTGACTGCAAGTGGATTTTACGGGTTTTGTGTGTCGGACGCTTGTTTTTTGGCCTCTTCTTGTGTCTAACATGTGCAGAGTATCATTATAACGTCTAATGGTTTTGAGATTCCTGGTGGCGTGAAATATATTTGTGAGAATATCTTTTTGAGATTTTAGCAGTCACGTTTTGTTTGTAGTTTATATTTTATTTATTTCATTTAATTATCGTAAATATTAGTTATTCAATAATAGATAGTTCATGCATATATTCGTACTTTGACGCGAAGCGCTGTGGATTATAAGATGCTCAATGACCCTCGAGGGATCGATTTTGCTTACTGAGCAGAAAATCATGGATTTAACCCCAAGCTCTTCCACAGCACAATAAATCGTCCACCATTTGTATATTTGATATTGAACATTAACCTCGGAAACTATTTGCATATCAAGCGAAAACGTAGTCCAGTATTGTCGCGAAGCGTTATTGTTCTGAGATGCTCGATGACCCTGGAGGGATCGTTTTTGCTTACTGAGCAGAAAATCATGGGTTTAATCCCAAGCTCTCCGTCATGACTCTTAAAATTCATTATCACTAAAAAAAATTAATATGTTCTTTCGATAGCCGGCTATCGAGAGATTAAATAAACAACAAATAAACAATACATACTTTTGTTTGCATCGCCAACTTGAGGTGAATCCTAACCGAATACCCTACCCAACCCTCCAACTCCGTAGCACTTATGAGGGTGTCGCTAAGTCGGTGGCCTCTCGTTAAGTAAGTACTACATCAACATTTCCTTCCCTATCCCTAGTTATGGTAAAGATGGGCGTGGCCGGGAATAGCGACAGTCATGCTTCTGTTACTCTTGTTTAGATTGGAACCAATGTTTACTCCTCAGCATTATTCCTGAAAGTAGTCTAACTGAGAATTTCAGAAGAGACGTGAGTGTCGCTAGTATCCAATCTACGAAGTATATCATAACAACGCTAACGATAACGCTAACGCTAAGAAGCCGTATTAGATTTTTAACAATATCTACGTCAACCCCATTTTTTTCCAGGCTTCAAAAACACAGGGAACAATCTCTCCCAAATATGCTTTTGAATTGATTCGGACTTTTTACCTATTCACCATTTTGACGTTAAATCAAGGTAGAACGACCGAGATGGATGGTTACACATACAATGTTCTTAATTTCAACAATTATTGTTGGCAGATGATTGCCATAAACGAGAGGAAGAGAGAATCCAACATTAACCATGGAACGAAGACAATGTACAATGTAGGAGGATTAGCTTTGCCACCGTAAGCCGGAACAAAGGTACGAATATCAATCTTCGAAGAACTGAAAACGGAATAGAGCCAGGTAGCTTCGACACAAAATGATTTATACTTTACATTGGATTGCAAGTTTCATATTTCCAGATTTTGTCATGACAAGCATGATTGGATTAATGTGTTCCAATGCATGTGTCAGCCTATGTAAAATGGTATACTTGTGAGTTGTGAGTCATATATTATCGTGACACAGAAATCACGTACGTTCGCTAACCCATTCCAATTGAATAAATCCATGTGGCAACCAATCATCGCTAATAGTAAATTCCACTTGGACATTCGTCTTCGAATGGATGGAACACAACATCTCAAGTCATTCCCCTTTTATATTCACACTACACATTTAAAAGAGCTAAACTTTATCTTTCAGTTCAAATCCCCAATTTTCTTCCCATCCGCACGCTGCCGCCAGTGCCATCGCCCTCTTCCTCTGAGTCTCGAGCGCGCGCACATACACAGGGAGGAATAAAAGACCCCGGATTCCAAACGAAACCAACCGGTGCTCGCTCGGGCATTTGAATATGTACCATTTTACTATTTGAATCGACTATATCGAGGGGTTCGCAGCATTTATTATTATTATTCCTTTAACGTTTTACCGACATATACTATACCAGCAGACCATGCTGGACGAGACGCGAGAGTGTGAGAGAGAGAGCGAGAGCGCGCGCGCCGAGCTCTTCTAAGCCCTGTTTCCTTCTCGCTCTTCTTTCCCGCGTCTCAAGTGCGTCGTCGTCAGCCCGTTCCTTCCTTGCTGCGCTCGCCTTTCAGAACAGAGATTTTCTCATCTTTCCTCCACCGTTGGTCGGTCCGGAGCGGCGGACGGCGGCTGTGGCCAGAGCGAGAGCAAAAACCAGTGGGGTATAATAATAATAAAATTCAACAGTCACGTACCATCAGCCAGTAGCATTCTACCAGACCGAGCGAGAGGCAACCAACCAGTCGTCAGTTTATTTTCAGCAGTGGTCGTAGTAGGTGATGCTTTTTTTAACACGGCGCTCGCCATTTTAATTCTACAATACTGGTTAGTTGGTTGGTAGGTTGGGGTTGGCACTTCAGGGGTTTCTCGGCTTCGGGGGTCAATGTCGCACAGCAGCAGTACCATCGCAATGGCCAACGGACAGAATCCGGCTCCGGCGGGGATCTTCAAGGATGAACTGGACGACTTCGAGCGCTTCGCCCTGGAAAATCTGGTCCGGAACGAGTGGGGTCTCAAAGTGACCACCCTGAATCGATTGATGTGTAAGTACTTCCTATACTATTTCCGTAGCGAATTTTCAAAAACAAAATAGCAACGTTTACATTACACTGAAACAAGACGATTTCCCGTTTCCAACGAGTTTACCATAATTTTCACACGCGCATGTCACATTGCTGTGGCTGCTGCAGATCTACCACGCGCTAGAGCAATGAGAGTCTGGCTGGCAGCAAACCGACTCCGACTGAAATGTTCAAAAACGTCTATTGTATGTTTGAACATAAAATCATCATAAATATTTATAACCATGTGCACGACGGTACATTCTTAACGTTTGTGTTTTTTCTTCTCTCTTACTATTCTCGGTTCCATTTGTATGGGTGCACAACACACGTCTGTTTTCTCGCTTGGGATCGGAGGAAGATTGTGGAGTTTCGGTCGAATGTTTGGAAGTGATTGAGGAGCACGATCTGAATGACATATTCAACGACGACAGAGCCATCGGACAGAAGATACTGCTGCGGCATCGGTTGCGCGAGTGGCGAAAGGGACTGCACTGGGTAAGTGGATTATTATTGGTTGTAAGCTTTTGTTCCGTTGTTGTTGTTGTTTTAGCCGTTGTTTCCGTTGATCGATTATTGGCGGTTCGATGTATTGGATTATGCAGCGTAGGTACGATTGATGGGGGTGATTCTGAGCAATTCACGTCACCTACGTGAGCGTTTAAATAGAATCAATTACCTACCACACGTCATTCGACTTGCAGAATAACTTCCAATGAAAATACACGGTAAGAAAAAAGTACCCAACGGCCAGCTCACTTTTACCTACTTTTGACTAGTTTGTCTTCTTTTCTCCTTCTAATGTTGTCAAAAACGGAGGAGCAAAACTACCTAACAGGGGTGGTAAAGTGTGGGAACCCAACGTTGAGTATAATCATATTTACCGACATTTGGGTACAACTAACTTACTTTTAGGTAGAAATCTAGTGGAAAATTCCATAAGAATTGCACACATGTAAATGAAAACTACTTTGACCCGCTTTACCTGCTTTTGGGTTCCTGCAGTATAGTGCCGAGATGAGTGAAAAGTATTTACTTTTGGGTACTTTTATCTTACAGTGACCTACTGGAAATCGAAGTTAAAGCTACAGTACAGTAAATGTACTTGGTAATTGTTGCTAGTTTCAAGCATGTTTTTGTATAAAACCTACACGAGATGATTTTCTAGACGCAATGCATTTGGGGAGACAAATTTTGTTCGAAAAATAAGCAAACATAAAAATTGCAAAACTAATTAAAAACCTTCCGGCGACAACATTACAGGATCTGTTCGTGTCGCGAAACATTGCAAATTCTGCATACTTTTCATGAACACACTGAGTCAGATAAATCTAAATAATTCCATAAGGCATGCCTTAAGAACCTGGACATGGCAGGGCTGGTAGCAATCACTGCCGTTAAAAATAGTGATTTTTGTGACCATGTTGATGAAATAAGTGACCAAATAGTGACTTGTAGTTAATGTTGAAGATGCTAATTTCAAATAACAGACTAAGGTGATATTTTTTATACGATAGATAAGGAGATGAAAATATAGAATTGATAGTTCCGCTTAGAGTACGACAGTGTGAAAATTGCATATAGAGAGTAGAAAACGAGCTATGACAACTTTACGAAAGTACAAATCGGAGGATAGTAGATTTGGAGGATACCCATAAAAAAAAGAACCGTAGAGGTACAATGAAATGTATTGTAACCATACAATATTGTTTCTACAATAGAATCTATGGTAAATTGGGGAATACACAATAGAAAAAGGGGGTCGTTATGTATCTTGAGCCATTTATCATTAATAGTATTGTTGAAAACTCTTACTATATGGGACATATTGTACATCTATTGTAATAAAAATATGTTAAAATTTCGTGTACTTTATAAACACAATAAGATCGATTGTTGGCAGTAGATTTGTTTGTAATTGTATTTTATTTTATGGTAATTGTATGGTTATTTTTTTCCGGGTAGCTTCATCAAAATTTTGAGGAATATTTCAACGAAAATCTCCGTTGAATATGGAATATACTATTCCGAGGTTTTCAGAACTACTTAAAAGTTCCCAAATTTTTCCTGAAGTTAATGAAACCGTCTTGAAGTTTTTTTGTAGTTTGAGAAACTAGCCTGAGCCTCACAACACTTCTCATCAAATTCTTAAACTTCCCTGAACTTTTGAGGACTTCCTAAAATTTCCTAAATGTTTTCTCCTGAATCTCTAAAGGATTAACAATTCGCTGAAGTTCTCTAAACTTCTTTAAAAATTATGTGACTTCTCTAATGTTAACGGAACTGCTCTGAAGTTCTCTGTTCTTTTCAGAAATTCTCAAAACTTCTCTAATTTTTTTGCAGTTCTCATGAAGCTTGTTGTACTGCGCTGAATTTAATTGAACCGTGTTAAAAATGTTTAAGCTTCAGTAAACTTCTGAACTTATGCGAAGACTTCAATTAACTTTTAAACGTCTCTGAAGTTATCTGAAAATGGAACTGAACTCCCCTCGAAATTCCTCCGATTTTCGGAGCTTACTTCACTTCTTTCAAAAGCTCCCGCATTTTGCTAATGTTCATAAAAATTCCTGAAGTTCGCGGATCTCCCCTTAAGCTCCATAGATTTCTATGAAGTTCTCGAAATGTTTCTGAAGACCACTGTGAAGTTTACGTTAAGTTTTTCCATATTTCTGGAACCTTTGTGATTCCGCAATTTTCATGAAATTCGAATGAAATAATTAATAAAGTTCTATGATTTTCTCTGAAGTTCTCAAAAAATTTCTGAAATGCATGAAACTTCCATTAAATTATCGACACTATTTTAAAACTTCTTCAATAGTCTAGACTTTCCTGGTGTTATTAAAACTGCCTAAACGGTTACTGGATATCTTCAAAGTTCTCCAGACTGCCCTGAATTTATCAGTATATATTAAGAAACCGCAGCTTTACTGAAATTAATTGATTTGCCTTGAAGATTCGACAATTTTCCTTAAGTATTCCAACGCTCTCTTATTTTCTTATTTAATCTATGCTTACCTGAAGTTATCTAAATTTGTTTAATAATCAGGCAAATTTTCTGATAAATATATTCAAAATTCTCTGACGTTTTCGAATCAATCATAGAATTCTTGGAATACCCCATAATTCCACGGAATTCCTTGTAAGTTGCTGCAAATTTGCTTAAGTTAATGGGATTATTCTGAAGCTATCTGATCGTCCTCGAAGTACTCGGAACTTTGCTGAATATCACGAAACTACCTAAATTTATTACCTAAAAGTTCTCGCATTTTTTTAATTAATGGAAAAAAATATTCTCTAATATCAACTTAGCTAAATTTTCGCATTTTTAAAAGTTCTTGAAATCTCCATGATAAAACACCCTGAAAATACTCTCACGTTTTCCGGATGTTCATATAATTTTTATCACGTCCCAGAAATTCTCTCGGAGGTTTGCTGAAGTATCCGAAGGATTCTACAATTTCCATGAAATCAATTGAACTGCCCTTTGATTCTCTGATCTGTCTTGATGTTCTAGAAGCTTGCTTAAAGCTCTCAATTCTATTGAAGATAAATTTCCCAGAAATTATATGGACGTCTGTGAAGTTCCTGAAATATTTCTGAAGTTTTCATAAATTCTCTGATGGTCTCTGTACTTCCCTGAAATTCTCGCAATTTTTCTAAATTTACAATTATTGATGTTTTAACTCCCCCAAAAGTTTGGACTATAGTTACGGGAACTGCTTTTAAGATCGGAAATTCCCCAAAGATCTCTAGATCTAGCTTTTCGGAGGTGCTTAGAACTTGCACAATACCCTAATTTATCAAGTTCGCTTAACACCTATTATGTGCTCTGAAATTCTAGGGACTTCATGAAAATTTTTCGGCTGTTAAAAGAACCGATTTGAGGATCTTAAAGCTTCCAGTAAGTTCCCCATATTTTCAGTGTGTTAACAGTGTGAGCTTCCCCGAAATTCTCAGCATTTCCTTTTATTCCTCAGAAGAAGAAGTTAATAGGACAACGATGAAGATCTCTAATCTTTCATAAAGTTAATAACAAACTTGAAATAAATTATTTATTTGTTTTTCTTAATTCAGGCACTTTGAAATTTTTCAATATCTTGAAATTGTACTTGGAATACGAAACTTCAAGACATTGAATATTTTAAAATCTTGGACTTACTTAAATTAAGTGCGTTTTTGAGTGAGAAATTAAGCAAGTGCTTAACTTCAACATTCAATGGATTTGATTGTAAAGCTGTTTATATAAAACTGATTGCCATGTCTTAAAAAAGTTTGAGTTAATTACTGTTGTTTTCGATCTTCCAAAAAAGCATATTTTGAACGCATTTAAAAATAGCTTTCTTATCCATTAAAGTTCTGGAAAAACTCAGGAAATTTTATTTAGGCACCCTGTAGATAGAGAAAGACTATTAAACGTCACAAAGCAAAGAATGATCAATCTTGAAATAAATTCACGCTAAAAAAAAGTTGAAAATAGTAACTGATTACAAGGAAAGGTGACTTTAGTGACTAAGCGTTCAAAAAGGAGACTTTTTAGTGACTGGATTGAAAAAAGTGACCAAGTCACTATAAAGTGGCTTGCTACCAGCCCTGACATGGTACAATGTTTCAAAATTCGACAACAACTCTTTGTCCGCTGAATGAACTTAATCAAATTAGTCCTTACAGGAAAAAAAAAATCTCAGAAATCTAATGAAATTGCTTTCATCTTGTGCACGATAGTTAGGGACCTCAGAAAGCCTAGTCAGTAAAGGCAAGGTATTATTTTGGGTTGGACATTTGCTTGACTTCCTTGGGCATAGAACATCAGAGCTTGCCACACAACATACAAGTTCATCCATTGGATGGCACAGAAAGCTCTCCATTAACAACTGTGGAAGTTCATCTAAAACACAAAGTTGAGGGCTGGCAAAACGCTCGCTACAGAAGTGTAGGAAGTCTAGAAGAAGAAGAGGCTCCTCTAATTGGCCATATCTAATCTAATCTAACACCAATACAGTCAGTTCTTGAAAGCATAATGGAAAATGATGGATATTTTATGTATGTTTCACATCGAAGATGCGTCAAACATATCAAAACGGCCAGGCCTACTGTGCGGCATTTAAGGGGCAAGATGATTCAGAAAACATCATCGGGCCACACGATGCTTCAGAATCCATTGGATATCTCGTGCCGTACGTTCCGCTTTTTGGTAATTATAAGATTGGTTGGTCGTAGAAAGGTTCAGTGATACCCCATTTTCCTCTGACGGTTAGGACATGAGCACCAACTCTTGCCCTAGATTGTTATAGTTCTGGCGCCATTACTCGCTTTCTGAAAAGAGAAGTGAGCAAGGAAAAGGAGAAGGACAAAGGGAAAAGGATTATACCGTAAAGAACCCTAATTCTGCGCACCTAAGGCCTAATTTTGCGCAGTTTTGACCATTTCTAAAATAATTATAAGTTGAATTTATTTTGAGTTGAATTGTACAGGAAGGGAGGTATTAACCACGCAATATA